AATGCAGGCATCTATAAATCGTCAGATTAGGGCTTGCGGTGTGCGATATGAATGCAAGCGGCGGATATAATATATAAAAGTTTATGGATTTTAATAAAAAGGCCTTCCATATGAAGAGCAAATTTAAGCTTGGATGCCAGAGTCACAACAATGTATGGGAAAGAGGATACCTTGTTGGGCAGAATATCAATAGTCTCAGGACTGGGAGAGGGTCGCAGTTAAAAAATACACTGGAATGATTTCCGCTCATTTAAGTAGAAGGCCGTTTGCTGACGACCATGTTGAGACGTTGTCCAGGCCATTCTTCAGTACTTGGAGATGTGCCTGACTTTTGAGAGGATGGCCAAAAACGATATCATCAGCATATTTAACAAACAAACATTCGTTTGGCGATCGAAATCATCAGTGCGGAAGGAGAAGAGATGAGGGGATAATATAGAACCTTGGAGAACTCCATAGTTATTGGGAATGACCGTGGATTTTCGCTTGCCGCACTGAACGAATAGAGTGCGGGAAGGGAAATCGTTCCCAAACCAAGAGACAGCACAGCTGGGAGAGCCGCATGCAGGAGTTTTAAAAAGTAGAAGATGGCGCGGGATGGTTTTAAAGGCTGAGGAGTAGTCGAGAAAAGCATATCCGTATGCATTGCAGCCCTTATCTTCATCTCTTAAAGCAGAATGGACTACCAGAGCAACAACGTCTACTGTACTACGTCTAGCCTTATACGCAAATTGGAAGGGATCGAAAATTCCGAGGAATAGGGCGTATTGATGTCTAAGGCAACTCGTTCTGCAAGTTTCAGTATTTTAGAAGAGTAGGCAATTGGAGGAAAGGATTTCAGACCAGAAGGAGAAGGTTTTTTTCGGGGATGGGAGTAATTCTCACTGACTGCCACTCATCGGGAATCTTAGACTCCATGAAGGACAAGTTGGTGAGGCCTATCAATGCAGGGCCTAACTGAAAAGAGCAGGATTTCTGGAGAAACAGTGAGATCCAATCTGTCCCGGCAGCTACTGAATCTCGAACATTTTTAAGATATTTCATCACTGTTTCCACAGACAAAGGAACAAAGAAATTTGGTAATAAGGAAATACCGTTTTTTGGAAGATTTGAGTCAGTGGGAGTGTGGATGCAGTTTGCATTTAAACGTTCTAAGACTAAGTCAGCATCTACATGTGCTAGGGTATTGTGTTGACCAGTGAGACGCTGAAGACTCTTCCAAAGTTCATCCAAGCAGATGCGAAGCAGATTCAGAATTCACTATTTCCACCTCTACAGAACAATTGCTGGCTATCCTGCAGCAAAAACAAACTCAAATCGAGGTGGCTTAGATGAAGTTCATGGAGTTCATGATGCAAAAATTCAGCTGGCATTTTTCTGATCCATATACTTCTGCGAAACAGTCCACATCAGCGGACCGAGCAGCTGTCTCTTTTACTGAGTTTACTTACGATCCCGACTCTGGCGTAA